GGAACGCCTTGTAGGGAGCAGGAGGCGGCGCCGGCAGCACTCGCTTCTCTGTCACGTCCAACTTCAGCAGTGCCGCCCGAAGTCGGTCTGGCCCAGCGTGATGGTCCGGAGGTTAATCTTATTCTGATTCGTCAATGCCGCTCCTTCCTCCAGATACCGCGCCCTGACGGGGTCCGGCAGCGTCAGTCCATGTACTTCAGCCTCGGCTATCTGTGCGTCCCGTCGCGGGACGTAGTCGGCGAGGGTCTCTCCTCGGCGAATCATGTGATCGAACAAGGCCAAGTTCTGTGCACTTCGTTCCCGGTCGCCCGGGCGCTCTCCATTCAGAATAGAAAGGGGCGAGAGAAGCTTGGCAATCCCGTCGGCTGCGTCGAGGGTCGAACGGATGGCCATGAACTTAGCCTGCAGCTCGACGGGATAGGCCTCCACCACCTTCGCCGCCTGCTGGAAGTCCTGGTAGCCGGTCCTCTGGGACCATGCGTTTAGATTGTGTCGATACAGATCCAGGTGGTCGAAGCCCAGCCATGCAGAAGGCGGCCCAAAGTCTCGGCTACGATTCGGCGACGTCCAGCCCGTGTACGACCAGTCCTCGCTTCGCCAATCTTGCCACCCACTCGTCTGGGCCCCTGCATGCGCACCCCAACTGTCCCACACGCCCAGGTCATCGGTCGTCGTGCCCGCCTCGACCGTCCTGGTGGCGTAGGTGTCGGTAGCTGGCCAGCCTCTCCAATATCGCGAGTTCCCCCAGGCTTGACCATTCGACCAGTTCCAGGTCGCAGCTCTAGCATCAGCTGCGTCCCTCCACGGATCAGTACCTATGTCCCGTGTCTGCTCTCCTCCCTGTCGTCCGGGAGGTTCTTCCTGCGGTCGGTAGTCTCGTCCGCCGCCATCGCCGTTCATGCCAGGAAGTACGTGGCCGCCTCCTCCCTCTTCGCCACCCTGCTGCCCCGCGGGCTCCCCATCTCTAACCATCGCTCCGCTTACCAACTGTTGGCGCAGGAGGGGGGAGGACAGGGACCTTTGTGTCGGCGAGGGGGCGCGGAGAGGGGCATGGGTACAGCCTGGCGCCTTGGGCGCCTCTAAGCCAATGAGGCTGCACGGAGGCTAGTACGGAGGGACAACGACGGAGGGGGCACAGAGGAGACGGGGGACATCGGTGGCCATGTTCCGGCGTCGGCGATTCAGACCAGCCGGCCAGTCGCGCCCGTCGCCGGGGCACCAGAGCCCGACGAGGCAGCGGAAGGGCGCAGCGACGCGTGGCGCGATCGCCTGGCTGCCGCGACGGGCGCGCAGCCGCGCAGGCAGAGGCGGCCCCCGCTGGTGCCTGATTTCTCTGGCTTCGCTGACGTTCGGCTCCCGCCGGACACAGCCTTCGCCCTGGAAGTGGGCGACGCCCTGCGTGAGCCTTTGCAACACTGCGATGGCGAAGCGCCCGCAGGGGCCAAGGTACTTTTCCTCGGCCAGGAGACGGGGTGACGCCAGGGCCGAGGCAAGTTGGGTTTCCGCGAAGCTCGGTCTGCCTTGGCACCCCGACGCGTGTGCCCGCGCGGCAGCCGAGGTAGTGGCGCCTTTCGATCAGATGCCGGAGCTGCGTTCGCATGTGCTCGAGACAATTTTCTTCGTCCTTACCCGCGGCCCGACGGAGGTCGTCAGCTTCCGCCGGCTGACGTTCAAGCACTGGGCGCTCCGGGCGCAAGCTTTGGAACAAGACGAGGCGACGCTGCACCAGTCCATGGAGCCCGGCGTGCGGCGCGTGTTGCGCGGCAAGCGACTCCTCCTGCTCGATGAGATGGCGCGGGCTGCTGGCTACCCGGACTGCGGGTTGGCGGGCGAGGCGGCCGCGGGCCTGGCAGTCATCGGAGTGCTCCCGGTGACGGGGGCGTTCCCTCCGCTCCCAGTCCCGGCGAAGGAGTCTGTCGCCGCCGCCCTGGCGCGCGCAGCGGAGGCGCAGCGCGCGGCCGCGGCGACTGTGGGGCCATCCTCCGACCCGGCGCTGGGCGCGGAGGTCGAGCGAGTGACGCTGGAACAGGAGGCTGCCGGCCTCCTGTCTGCGCCGTTCCTGTCGGTGGAGGAGGTTTCCGCCGCGCTTGGGCCAGACTGGCTCCCCGCCCGCCAGTTCGGTGTCTGGCAGGGAGGGAAGGCGCGAGAGATCGATGACGCCACAGAGTTCGGCGAGAACCTGTTGGTTGAGCGGACCGAAAAGCTCGATGTCCTCGGTCTTGACGAAGTCGCCGGCTTGGCCCGATGCTGGGCGGAAGCGGTGGACTGGGACCAGCGACGCGTCAGAGTGCGCCTTCCGGGCGGCGCTGTTTTGGATGGCGAGTTGTCTGGCGAGTGGAGTCGCGCAGGGGCGGCGCGCCTCACGGGCCGCACGCTGGACCTCAGCAAAGCCTACAAGCAGTTGGCCAAGCGGCCGGAGCATCGCAGGTTCTCTGTCGTGACGTCATGGTCGGCGGCCAGGCGCCGCGTCGAGTTCCGTTTGGCCTATTCCCTCCTGTTCGGGGAGACCGGCGCCGTGTTTCAGGCCAACCGCTTCTTCCGGCCTCTGGAGTGGATATTGTGCCGGCTCTTCCGTGTCGCTGTCACAAAGTATTTCGATGATTATCCGCACCTCGAGCCCGAGGTTCTGGCTGCTGGGGGCCGTGCCACGGCCCTCGAGGTCCTGAGGCTCCTCGGGTGGCCCCCGAAGGAGGAGCGATCGGAAGACAGGGTACCGAGGCCAGTGTTCACCGCTCTCGGGGCGCACTTCGACATGAGCCCCCTCGTCGAGCACGGCTTCTTCAGGGTAGGCAACAAGCCGGGCCGCATAGAGTCCATCAGCAAGGATTTGGCGATGATCGAGGCCAGGGGCCGGGTCCGCCGCGGCGAGCTGGACTCCCTCATCGGCAAATGCCGGTACGCAAGGTCGAACACGTTCGGCCGGTGCGGCGCTGCGGCCTTGCAGGCGCTCGGTGACTTCAGGCAGAACGGCGCAACGGGCGGCTGGATCACACCAAGGGTGAAGTGGGCGCTGCGGTGGTGGCGCCGCTTCTTGAGCTACACCCGGCCAAGAGAGGTGTGCTGTCACCGGCGCCTCCCGACGTTGCGTCTGTTCACAGATGGGGCCTGCACCCCTCGCCCTGGCCGGCTGCCACTGGTGTCGATCGGTGCCGTGCTGTACCGCGCCGGCGCCGCCCCTGTCGTGTGGGGAACGGAGGTCCCAGAGGAGGTCGTGGCCAGGTGGCAGGACCGCGGTGTACGCACTGTGGAGCAGGTGATCGGCCAGGCTGAGCTTGCCCCCGCGGTCGTGGCCCGCCTCCTGTGGCCAGATGTGTTGTCTCAGGCGGTGCTGCTCCATTGGGTGGACAACGAGGCTGCCAGCTTTGGCCTCATCCGGGGCTACTCGCCGGTGGAGGCGAGTGCTGAGCTCATTGCATGGTCGCAGGAGTTGGACATGGCGCACGGCACGGCGTCGTGGGTTGAAAGGGTCCCATCCCCATCCCTTGGCAACCCCGCCGACAAGGCGTCCCGCCTGGAGTTCGACGGATACCAGGGGGCGGTGGTGCTGGATGCTGTGCCGTGTTTGGCCCTGTTCTGGCAGGGTCTGCTCGAACCAGAACGGAGGCCATCAGCGTTCGACGGCCTGTCAATGCGACTCGGCGCTGACATGTCCCAGTGAGAGGCGGCCTGATGAGATGGGGGTAGATGCGGAGGCCCGCCTCCCCAGTACCGCTCAATGATTCAATGATGTTGTTCCCCACGGTGCAAAACAATTGCGTGCAATTCCTGACGCTTCGCGTCTTTCCGCCCGCTCCAGGAGGAGGTGCCCAGGAGGAGCTAGGAGTTAAAGGGAAATTCTTTCAATGCTGTTGTTCTCTGATGTCTGCCGGCGAGGGCCCGGGAGGATGGCGGAAGGCGGCTCTACTGCTAGTAGTCCCTCTTCCGCCGAGCCCCCCTGGCCCAGAGAGGCCGCCCAGAGGCGGGGGGCCGGCCGGCAAGACAGTGTATGAACGTTGTTTGAGGTGTCGCTGAATGCAGCGTGGCACCACAATAATGATGTGGAGAGGTCTCCGGAGGCCCGGGAGGTTCCACCAGGTCCCACGGGGTCCCACGAGGGTGCGATTCATTTTCTCCGTGGGCCAGACGAAAACGGCCAATGAGCCGCAGATAGGTGGCCGGTCCCCGGTGTGCAATCTGACCTTAATTGGGTTTGCGCCCGCTGGCATCGGCCACGCGGCCGGGACAGCTACGTTGCGTGTTCCCCAATTGGGATTGCGCTCGGACCCGTTGTGGGCCAGTCTCCTGGCGGCTCATTGGCCGTTTTCGTCTGGCCCACGGAGAAAATGAATCGCACCCTCGTGGGACCCCGTGGGACCTGGTGGAACCTCCCGGGCCTCCGGAGACCTCTCCACATCATTATTGTGGTGCCACGCTGCATTCAGCGACACCTCAAACAACGTTCATACACTGTCTTGCCGGCCGGCCCCCCGCCTCTGGGCGGCCTCTCTGGGCCAGGGGGGCTCGGCGGAAGAGGGACTACTAGCAGTAGAGCCGCCGTATGTATGTGCGTATGTATCCCTTTCTCCACCTCCACCCCAACCCGCCACTCCCCACCGCATGCATACACACTGCTGGCTGAGTATGCCAATAGATGGCTGCTCGTGTCTGTCCCAGCGCTACCCTCTCTCTTTCTCTCTCTCTCTCTCTCTCTTGCTCTGTCTCTCTTGCTCTGTCTCTCTCTCTCTCTCTCTCTCGCTCTCTAAGGGGCCCAGGGTCGCACACATAAGTAGGCACAAGTCCCAGATTTCCTATATTTTCCCAGACTTGCTGGGTGTTCGTCTTCCCCCCCACTTCCCACATCTTCCCATATTTTCGAGGGGATTGGCGATTGGTTGTGCCTGTGCGTTTCTGTCCCCTCCTGACTCTCGCTCTCTCCTTGGACCTGTCTCTGTCTGCACCCCTGTACAGGGCGTGTATCTACATCCCCATTCCTCTTGTGTGTTCGTGTAAGTATGGTTCGCGCGGTCCTCCGAGTACTCGAACCAGGAGTTCATCTCACCGATCCAGCCTGCGAGTGCGAGAGGCTTCATTCGACTTCAATCCTGACGTTTCTAACTGCCCAGACCCCCTCGCATCGTGAAGAAGCAAAGCAGTCCACGTTTGACGCTGTACAGCCTCCGGGGAAACATACTGAGCTCAAGCACTGTCACAGAAGACTCTGAATGAAAGCAAATGTCCCGAGGAAGGTGTCGAGACCTCTGGAGGTCCACATTGTCAAGAAAATCCTGTCGGAGTTCTGGGGACCTTCCTCCTTTGACTGTTGCTGCGCGGGTGGTTGAACAACTGATGCTACATCACGCGCCAGGCCAGAGCAGATGGGACAGAAGGATCGCACCACATCGCTGACTTCTGCGGCCACTCGTGGGAGCCTCCCGCACCATCTTGTTGGCTCTTGCGAGTCGACGCTAATCTACGCGAGTCGACGCTAGTCGACGCTAAATCGACGCTCGTCGTCGCTAAATCGGCACTATCTCATCGGGTGTGGCCCCCGAAGGGGCCCCAGAACGGCCCAAGAGGGCCCCAATACTGTCCAAGAGGGCCCCAAAACGGCCCTAGAGGCGCCCAAAATCGCTCAAGAAGGCCCCAAGACGGCCCCAAGAGGGGCCTAAAAGAGTCAGGGGGACCACGAACCACCAATTCTAGTCTTCCGCCCCAAGAGGCCCCCACCAGGAGGCCCCAAGAGGCCCCCAAGAGAGCCCAGGAGGCACCCTGGAGGCCGCACGGGGCCCCCAAGAGGCTCAAAAAGAAGCCCAAGAGGCCCCCAAACGACTCCCAATAGGCCCCAAGAGGCCACGAACGCGCAGGCAAACGCCTACGATGGCACAGTACGGGCCAGCGGAATGAGCAAAGCGATTGAATCAGAATGAGGGGACCGAACGGTCATTCATTGTCCCTGGGTGCGTGGCTGAACTGGGGATTCGTAGTGAAGATTATGTGTGTTGCGTTGTTGCGTTGTTGCGTTGTGTTTGTTGTTGTTGTTGATGTTGCTGTTGTTGTTGTTGTTGTTGCTGTTGTTTGTTATCGTCATCCCACCCGCGACCCACCCGCGACCCACCCCGCGACCCACCCCGCAACCCACCCCGCGACCCACCCCGCGACTCACCCACTGGCTTGAAGCGATTCAATATTGTGCGGATGCAACAGTTATGTTGATTTGCTGCGTTGAAGTCCCAGGAGTGGCGTTCTGGCACGATTCAGGGTCGTCAAGACACAACAGTCAGGTTGATCCGTGGCGTTGGAATCGCGAGAACATTTTTGGGGCATGCTCCAGGGTCTTCAAGCGGTTGTCTTCCAACGATGCAGTTCCCTCCGTGGGAATGAACCGTTGTAGGGGCCTATGAAGAGGGAAATTGGAGGGAGGGTTTATTCCAACATCGTTGATGATTCGTGGGTTTAACCTGGTCCTCCTCCTCCTCCTCCTCCTCCTCCTCCTCATCATCATCATCATCATCATCATCATCATCACCACCACCACCACCACCACCACCACCATCATCATCAGCAGCAGCAGCAGCAGCAGCATCATCATCATCATCATCATCATCATCATCATCATCATCATCATCATCATCGTCATCATAATCATCGTCATCATCACCATCGTCATCATCATTGTCCTCCTGCTCCTCCTCCTCCGTTCTGGCACGATTCAGGATCGTCAAGACGCAACAATCAGGTTGATCCGTGGCGTTGGAATCCCGAGAACCATGTTTTGGCATGCTTCAGGGTCTTCAAGCGGTTGTCTTCCAACGAGGCAGTTCCCTCTGGAAATGAACCGTTGTAGGGGCCTATGCAGGGGGAGCTTGGAGGGAGGGTTGATTCCAACATCGTTGATGACTCTTGGGTTTACACTGGTCCTCCTCCTCCTCCTCCTCCTCCTCCTCCACCTCCTCCTCGGGCCTCTCCCTCAGGACCCTTCGGTGGCAACTCATGGGAGCCTCCCATACCATCTTGTCGGCTCCTGCGAATCGCCGCTGATCGACGTCAAATCGACGCCAGTCGACGCCAAATCGACGCTAGTCGACGCCAAATCGGCGCTACGCCATTGACTCCCAGACGCTTTTCGACGCTGGCCGACGCTAAAGACGGAATCAAGGGGGTAGACCAGGCTCCCATCATCTGCTGCCGCAAAACCCCCTGCCCCCACGGCGAAAAGCGCGGCGGGGGGCACGGCCTCCGTGCTCCTCGCGCCGCACCGGCGCACACGGCACCACCACGCGGACGCTGCTGCGGAAGGGCACCGACAGCCTGGCGGCCGCCCGCGGCCGCGGCCGGTGCCCTCGCCGCGGTGCGGTCGCTCTGGTGGGCCGCGCCCTCGCCGAGGAGCCCTCCCGGGGCCGCCGAAGGCCTCCGAGTCGGGCCCGCGGCGGGCGGCCTCCGGGCTGGCGAGGGGCCGCCGGAGGGCCGCCGAGGGCCGCCCACGACGCGCGCTCGAGCCCGGCTGACCGGGTGGCGAAAAAATCTGCTGAGGGGCAGTTCGAGTAGGGGCTCGCCTGCAGTCCTGTCTCCTTCCTGTTCCTAGAGATCCAACGCATTGAAAAATGAAGATGGAGGTTTTTCGCACATTTCGGCCTCCAGAGGCCCTCGCCGGGCCTCGGGACCGTCAAGAAACGACTCAGGATGAAAACCTGGTCCTGGGGAATGGGTCGAGACTTCCGGGGACCCCGCATTGAAAAAATCACGACGTCGGATCTCTGGGTTTCACCCGAGACACATTCTACAGGATCCGTTTTCTCTCCTGCGGGAGTACGCTCCCATGCGCTCGCCCTCTCCCAGAGGACCGCCCCAAAGCGGGCCGGGACGCGAGCCGTACCGTACCGTACCGTACCGTACCGTACCCATCGACTACAGTCAACCCGTACAATAAGAACGCACGGTAAGGATGCAAGGGTCCTGGAAGGCCATGTCAGCGCTTTGCGAGCGGGGCGCGGCCAACGGAAGTGGCCAAGGATGGACCGAGGAGGGAAGGATGCAAGGATACTCCGGGTTTCTTCATGAGGGTGGAGGGGTACCCCCCCCCGACGGTGGTCAACCTCGCCTCGTCGTCGCGCCGCGACGGGGGTCGGAGCGCCTTCGGCGCGCGGTGGCTGCCCGCGACGGGGGTCGACGTGGGACTGTCGGCGGGGGTGACGCCCCTCCGACGCTTCAAGAAACTGGGAATAGCATTGGAAAAGTTGGCCCATTCTTACTATGCTGGTTGACCGCGCAGGGTGGATTTACCCCAAATTTGATTATTTTCCGTCGCGGCTGCGAGAAGTGCGTAGGATGCTCCGCAGATCTGCAGGGCATGTTGCGCATTCTCGTGGACTCGGCGAGAAAATCGGGTTTGGGGTGATTGAATCATGCAGTCGATCCCCTACTCGAAAAGTGCAGCTGCCAGACGACCGATCTGTCGCCTCGGACTTGGCTCATTGAAGGGGGGTGGGGCGCCGCGTCGCTTGGACCTCGTTCGTGTTTCGCTCGGAGCAGGAGCCAGGCGGCCCCCTCCACCCCGTGGCCCGCCCGCGTCGCGAGAGCCCTAGCTGAAGGCCGGCATGGCCCGCGACCTAGACCTCGCTCGGACATCCACCGAAGCTCGCTCGCGACCGAAAAGCCCGGAGGCCGCCTCCGCGCTGGGCCCGCGCGCGCCGCGAGAGCCCTCTCCAGAGGCCGCCGTGGCCGGCGCCTGCTTCGCCCGTCGTGGGTCCCTGCAGCGGCCCTCCCTGGCCAGCTTCCGGGGCTCTTCTTGGAGCCGTTATGGGCCGCCTGGGGGCCCTGCCGGGCCGTCGTGAGGCTGCGTCGGGGGACCGCTCTGCCATTTTGGGGGGCTCTCGTCGCCCGTCTTGCCATCTTGGAGGCCCCCAGGGCACCACGCGGACCCTTCGCCTGGTGAACGTTTTCTTATTCGGCGTTTGGACATTGGGCGGAAGAGGGGGGAGAGGGGGTGTCTGGCTCCGGACTTCCGCTTAATGCGACCGTTTGCAAAGCGTGCGTCCTATGGGGGAGACTCCACCTGCTCGAAACAGGCGCCAAAAACAACCGACATCTACTCCTTGTGGGGGGGGTGGGATGGACCAGAAAACAACCGACACCACCCCACCAACGGCTCCACGGGCCTCAGCACATACCATGAAAGCCGGCGTGGGCTTTTGCGTGGTATACGCTGCGGTGCCCGATCGGCCGTGGTGCAACATGGAAGGCTGTAGATGGGGTGGTTTCGTTTATTTTTTGGTCGAAGGGGGTTGCGAGGGCCCGCGCCGACCGTAAAAAACGGTCACATGGGCCCTCGCTCGAGCCTCGCAGCTGCTGCGCGGCCTCGACTCCATGGCCTCCGAGGAGGCTGCGGCCGGGGGCGCGGCCGGCCGGCCGGGGGCTCCCGGCAGGGGGCGGTTCCCCTTGGGGGCGGGCGGCTGCGAGAAAGTGGAGCTCTCGAGCTGGCAGAGTGCGCCTGCCGTCGATGGCAAGAACTCGCTGTTTGGGGTCCACGCTGGCTTGCATGTCGGATTCGTCCACGGCCGCCCTATAAGCTTGGCCTGCGTTGCACTGCTTCGATTTGCATTGCTCCGCACTGCTCTGCAGTGAGTTGCATTGCACCAGATAGGTTGCGCCACATGGATTGCACCACCTGGATTGCGCAACATTGATTGCACCACTTGGATTGGACCACGTAGATTGCGGGAACTCGCTGTTTGGGGCCCACGCCGGCTCACATGTCAAGTTCGTCCGCAGCCGTCCTAGAAGCTCGGGTCCTCGCTTTCCCGTTCGCAGCGCCGCGCGCCACACCTTCCTATTCCTGTGCGTGGGGTTAGAGTGCAAAGGCGCAGAACCCCTGATCCGCCGGTAGAGGAAAGGAGGGAAAGATGGATATAGTTTCCTCCTGCACGATCAAAGGTCAGATCGATCGAATCCAATACCTGAGCCCAAACGGCCAGGCGCAGGAGAGGTGAGGATAAGGAGTATATATGAGGGTATTACACGGGTTCTATTCACACCCCCCGTCCCGAATCCCGCCCGTGAGGGCAGGGCTCGGGAACAGGAGAAAAGAACATGTCACCCTTTTACTCCTCAAATCCTCAGCATTGCGAGGCAGCTGAGCGTGAAATCTACATAGCATCAGCTGCGTCCTAATCATGACAGCGGTGTTCAAAAGGAAACGTAGCACAAGGCTGTCACGATTAGGCAAGTAAGGGCAAGAAGGAACACCCAGGGTCCCTGTTTCTTCGCCAAGCACACTTTGGTGCCCCCTCGGTGCGCCCCCAAAAAACGCTTCGGCACTCGAGGGCGGAGAAGAATGAGACACGGGTGGGCGGAGCAAGGGGATCTGATCAATTAAAGCAACATCAGAAGCTGCCGCGCCTGAGCGCGGTAGGTGTTGCCACCAGCTCTCAAACTAGAGCTGGGCATCAGAACATTCTCAACGCAATGTAAATATACTGTAAAAAAGAAGCAACAAGAATGCGTATTATGAAGTCGTGTTGAGGAACGCGATCGCGTTAAGGAACACGTATAAATGTCAAAGTAAATACATGGCCATGCGTAAAGTCGTGTTGACAAGCACGAAAAGCTGCAAACATAAATTCTGCAATTGGTTACTCCCCCCGGCGGTGCTCCTTAGGAGTCTGCCTCGGGTGTCACAGTGAGTGTGGCCACTTTTCTTGGATAGTGAAGTGGCCTAAAATTACATTGTTAATCACTGCTCGAGGCGAACTTGTATAAAGATGAAGTTCAGCCAATCGAGCGGCGGGCCTCGCGGCCGACTAAACTACGCGTCGCCTCTCGCGTAGAACCTCTGGTCCCACGCCCGGTGGCCATCATCCGCGACATAGCTCGTCGCGAATGTCTCCCAGGGTGTCCTGGGGGTCCAGTTGGGGAACCTATCGTTGCGCAGCAAGTCGCGGACGTGCACGAACTCGTCGTTGTTGTCCGCGATGTACATCCAGCATTTGGCGTAGTAGCCCCAGTACCTGGGGCCCCACTGGCTCTCCTCCAGGTTCTTGCGCCACCACATTGCGTAGTCCTCTGTCCTACGCGCCCGCTTGGCACGAGGAGACGTTGCTGGTCTGCGGCTGGCATCGCTGCTCTGCCGCTGCGCGGCGGCGCCGCGCGGCCCAGCGGGCATGTCATCCTGCGCGCCAGAGGCGCGGGATCCATCAGCATCGCCACGGGCAGGGCGCGGCGGCGGCGGGCGCCGCGGCTGCCGCGGCTCCATGGCGCCAAAAGAATGTGAGGAGTGTGCGTCGGGGTCGATCGGATCGGTTCTAATCCCTGAACCCGCCCCCCTTTGATTAGCAGGCTCCATGGCAGGTTCGATGGAGGCCAGCGCGGCAAGCTTGCGCTGCGTGACTTTCTCGCAAGCGCCGCCCCCACGGGGGAGGGCAATTGCGATAAGACCACGCTCTTGCCTAGTGCCTCTGTCGAGTCTACCAGTGTTCAACCACCAATTCCTCCGACCAGCGAAGCCAAGCCTGACGCTGTGATCATGAATATCACAAGCATCTCGCATGTCTTCGATGGTGAAGGCCTTTTTGCCAGTCTCTGTGCGAGCGGCTGTCATTTGGTGGCGGAACCGCATGGCATTCAGGAAACGCTGAACGAGATTGGCGAAGGGGTGGTATAGAGGTCTGTCGTCTTCAGTCTCGCCCATCAGCCTGCACATGTGTGCAGGAGGGGAGCCTGCGCTAACCCACCTCTGATACCTCTCCGCAGCTTTCTTCGTGAATCTCCTCAAGGTATCCTTCTCCTGACCAGCCATGGAGCGCTTGCCCATCATGTGGACACGCGCTCCATCTGTCATATACCTGGTGATGTCGTCCTGGGAGAGGTTCGTCTTGATCCAGTGGTTCAACTGCTGGAGGTATGCCAGGTCGCTCTCCACGGCGCCACCTTGGCCAGTAGTACCTACAGAGACAGTGTACTGCCAGCAGATATCACAAATTGTACCGTCACCTGTGACGATTCCCAGAGACAGAAAACGATCGCAATTCCGACATCGCGCTATATCATGCTGGATCTCTTCAGGGGCGCCAGAGATAGCAAGGTGCCCAAAGGATCCCCAGCGGGTGGTGCCACCGTCAGTGGAAGCAAGACCACGGCCGATTTGGTTCATTGCCTCACGATGGATCTCGGCGGTCGGACGGGAGGCGATCGATCGGCCGATCCCCTCGATCTCGATCCTAGACAATCTTTCCCCCGGTAGTCCTGCGTACCCGGAGGTGTCGGTGTCCGCAGTATCAGTATCACCATGGTGTACGTTGTCCGTACGGATGCGG